TCTTATATTATATTATACGAAAGGGTTTGGGGTTTAGGGTTTAGGTGCTATTATATTACAATATACGAAAATATTAATGGGGTTTAGGGTTTTAGGGGATATAGCACAACATAATACAATGTTGTATAGTATAATATCTGCTCTGACTGGCAGTCAGAATGCGGGGGTTGAGGCTTGGCTTCACATTGAAAGCGCGCAGTACCCAGTGGGAATGCAAATCTTGTACAACTTGAGAGGACAGTTCTCAGAGCGAGCTAATGCTTCTTAAAAGGCAAAGCTGACTCCGGGCGGTGCGGCATCACGCCAAAGTGAAAGGCGTAGGCACTCCAAAAGACTGAGGGCATGCAGTCAAAGCGTGCACTCCATTACCGATTAGAGCTTGCCGACTGCATATGCTTTGAAGCTTCTTCGCATCCAGCTCGAGATATGAAACTTCATGGAGAACATGACGGCGATTTAAACTCAAAGTCATACAAACCCTAAGCTCTAAACATATGATGATGAAGATGATGAAGATATATGATGTTGGTGATGCTGGTTCTGATGGTGATGAAAATCATGACGATGATGATGATGCTGATGATGCTGATGATGGTGATGATGATGAGAATGGTGTTGGTGATGGTTGCTATACTGCTGGAAGATCACCAGCCAACCAAAAGCCAGACACCCTACAGTCCTTAAAACAGCGAAACGCTGCGCTAAAGCCGTAACCCCGGAGCAGAAGCCCGAAACCCCCCTTCCCCTAAGCCTGAAATCTAAATCCTCGCCTCATGGCCGTAGAGCCGGGCCAAGTAATCCTTCACAGCCGGGCTTTTCACTGGGAAACCCCCCAAAGCCACCCAACATCAGAAACAAGACGGTAGGCTTGGGAGTTCCCATAACAAAAGCCACTGAAGCCTGAACCCCACGCCGGCCCAAAAGCTTATGTTTGGTTTAGGGTTTAGGGTTTAGGGTTTAGGGTTTGGGTGGCTTTGGGGTTCCAGGTTCTCGGCCTCTTCATGTTTCGGAGTCTCAAGGGTCAGGTCCTGTCAGGTACTTGGTATCTCATAATAAAGCCAACCAGGAGCAGGGTACTTGGAACTCCTACGAACTACAGTAGTGTCATTGAATCTGGCACACCTACTTTGAGGTGCGCATCAGGAGGGGTAAGGAATACGCGTCTAAGGTCCCAGCGAAGTGCCAGGGATTTAGTCCCCCGAAGCTTCAACTGAACCTGAAACCAAAAGGAAAGAGGGGCAACGGTCCCGCCTAGTAACGCTTGCTAATGTTGGCTTTACGTTTCCTTCACGAAGCCTGTTGAGAAAAGAAGCACGATGAAGTCCTCTTTCTCCTTACGGATCAGCGGCCAATCCAGGAAAGCAGAAGCCATGGCTGATGCTGGCTTGACGAACAATGCGTCCTTCTAAGGCATCCGAGAGTATGTTGCCCAGCTGGCACCACCCTGGGGGCACCCACGACGACGGTTTGAGACATACAGCCCTGCTAGCCCCAGCTCCTAGGCGCGAAATCCCAGTCATTCGAGAATGTTGCCTTGCGTCGTCTACGCCATGCAGGGTCATGCTGCATAGTAAAGTTTATCGGCTGGTCACCCGGGGTGCATGACAAGGTCGCAATAGACATGACATAACGGGGCGATCAGTACTTGTGGCTGACACAAACTCGCACCGACAAGTGCCTTGGCGGAAGGTTCATGTCCTGTTTTAATGCGAAGACAAGTTGTGCGGCTTCGGGTGCAATGATTCGCGAACTGGGTGGAGCAGTCGTGGCGGCGGCTTTGTATTTCGAACCGCGATGCTTCGCTGGGGCAGTGCCGACAGACATGCTTTAGCATTCTATGTTAGTATGTGGGCGTTGTAAGTTCTTCTAGGTCCCGTGCATATAACCCTACATGTAAGTATGTAAGAGAAACCTTTATGTATTACGTGACGTTCCTCTTTCTTCAAATACTTAGACTGACGTCCTACAGTGTAGTTTCCAGAGTTTCAATACTTCGAAAAGTTTTTGAAATTTTTAAAGCTTTTGAAAAATTCAAAACAGTTGAAACTATTGGAACTCTGCCCACCCGCATCCCGGACCTTTGGAAACTTTCAAAATTTTCAATACGTTGAAACTTTCAAAACTATTGAATCTATTGAAACCCTGCCCACCCTCTTCCCGTACGTTTTGAAATTTTTTACAACCTTTGAAACTTTCAAGACTATTGAAAATATTGACACCCTGCCCAAGCTCTTTCGAAAACTTCAATAGTTTCATATGTTGGGCAAAGGCCAGAGCCAGAGGGCACGGACGGCAGGGAGGGCACAGACGGCAGGGAGGGTACAGACGGCAGGGAGAGGGCGGAGGGAGGTCCGCCCAGGTCCCGCCCACCACCGCAATTATTGAAACTTCTAAAACTTTCAAAATCTTCAAGCCCTGTCCACCTTCGTCCCGTAACTGTTGAAACATTTAAAATGTAACTTTCAAAACTACTCTTTCCGTACCTTTTGAAACGTTTAACACTTTTGAAACTTTCAGAACTACTGAAACTATTGAAACCCTGCGCACCCTCTTCCCGTACCTTTTGTGAAACTCTTAATTCTATTGCCCACCCTCTTTTCCTACCTTTTAAAACTTCTAAAACTGTTGAAACTTTCAAAACTCACCTGCTGTTCCCTGCGCGTGCCCTCCCCTTCCACCCAGACGGCCTGTCGGGCAGCGTCGCCGCCCCCCGACGCCCTCTCAGGGGAAATTCCCTCAATTTGTTCGTTTTGAAAGCCGTAGTTTTCCCTTTGCATTTTTCGGATTTCCCTTCCGATTCCCTCTCGAGTTTGGCTGGCTCCCTTGCTTTCCATTTAAAATTCCCCTAGTTTCCATTAAATGGTCTAGATTTCCCTTACTCCCCTAAAACCGCGATTCATTTTCCCCGTATATTTTTCCCCAAGCTGTAAAACAAATCCCTTTGTTTCCCCTTATGAATTCCCCTAATTTTGTCGGTTGACGACGAAATAACGGAACGTTGTGATTCCTTTCACGCACCGTTGATGTATGGCGCGGCTGCGTTTTCCAAGCCCGAAAAGTTTCCTTGAGAAAACTTGGTGCTATCGAACCGCTGCGTTTTCCGACAATGACGACGGCAAGGGGCGGTTTGATAGCACCATTTTTTCTGGAAGGTTTCCTTTAAGAAAATTGGGTGCTATCGAACCGTTGCGTTTTCCAAACCTGAAGACAGCACAGCGGTTCGACAGCACCAAAATTTCCCAAACCGCCCTTCGCTGTCCTCATTCTCGGAAAACTCAGCAGTTCGACAGCACCAAGTTGTCAGGACGTTTCCTTCAAGAAATTGGGTGCTATCGAACCGCTGCATTGTCCAAACCTTGAGACAGCGGCTCGATAGCACCAAATTTTCCAAACGGATTTCATTCACAAAGAACCGGTGCTGTCGAACCGCTTTGTTGTCCATTACGAAGACGGACAACAAGTAGGCGGCTCGATAGCACAAAATTTTACGAAGGGTGTCGTTTCAGAAAATTTGGTGCTATCAAACCGCTGTGTTGTCCATTACAAAGCCGGACAACAAACCGGGGCGGTTCGATAGTTGATGGCACCAAATTTTCCGAAGGGTGTCGTGTCATAAAATTTGGTGCTCCCGAACCGCTGCATTTTCCGAAAATCAAGACAACGAGGCGCGGTTCGATAGCTTCAAATTTTCCGAAGGGGTTCCTTAAAATAAAACTGATGTTATCGAACCGCTGCGTTTCCGACAATGAGGACAGCGAAGAGCGGTTCGATAGCACCAAATTTTCTGGAAGGTTTCCTTTAAGAAAACTGGGTGCTATCGAACCGTTGCGTTTTCCAAACGTGAAAGCATCAGCGATGTTCGATGGCACATGATGGCACCAAATTTTCCGAAAGGTGTCGTTTCAGAAAAGTCGGTGGTTCCATCGAGCCGCTGTGTTTTCCACTGCAAAACGGACAAGCAAAAGCGGCGTTCGATAGCACCATATTTTCCGAAAGGGTTTCGTTTCGAAAATGAGGACAGCAAAGGGCGGCTCGTTTGCAAACGAACAAATTAAAAGAATTTCCCTGGAATTCGGCACCGGCCCTTGGCACCCAGCCCACCTCGCCTGCCCCATCACCCCCTTCAGAACCTTTAAAACTTGTTAGAACTGTTAACACTTGTAATTTTTCCCTTGCAATTTTCGGATTTCCCTTCCGATTCCCTCTCGAGTTTGGCTGGCTCCCTTGCTTTCCATTTAAAATTCCCCTAGTTTCCTTTAGATGGTCTAGATTTCCCTTACCGTTTCCCTTAACCGCCATTTGATTTTCCCTTATAATTTTCCCCTAGCTTGGCGTCAACGAACCTGTAAGCTGTACAGTCTTGCTTTTGCAGTAGCTGCATCGGAAGCTGCTGCGACTGTGCAAAACGAAGCGGCGGGCACAAAACAACTCTCGGCACCCCTTGCGCTCGGAAGCCGTAAAAGACAACACCTTGCTCCAAACCTTTGAACAGCTCAGTTCAGCGACTTTGGCCACGGTCTAGTCTGAAGTGAAGATACTGGAGTGATCCGAACATCAACACTAGGCCTAGGCGGCATCCAAGCAACATCAATCACCGAGGCAATCCAAGCAGCCCTGGGTCCTTTGACAAGTAGCAAAATGAACACAACATGCTGCAACCTCTCAAAGTCTCTCAAGGCACGCTTCAGCCGGGCCGAGGTGAACGACTCCCAGCATTTGCAACTCTACGTCTGGAGGGACCCCGTATGTGCTGTCACGCCTGTTACTGCATGGCTTTGTGCTGGTACCGCCACACCTGCTGCTTCTGCAGTCCGCGAACATGATATGGTCCTGATCCAACGTGTTCGACATTCCATCTTGGAGCAAAAAACCTGCTTTACCGTCGGCAGGTGCCAAACGTCCAACTTTGTACACGCTTGGAAGGAATGGGTTGTAGTTGGAAGACATCCATTCCCGAAATAGCACATTCTTCCACGAGAAGCACATGGACTGGCATCCCTTTAGGATCCTTCATTGGTGTCTCGCAGGCAACGTTCCCGACCAGCTTCTTCCCGACTGGATATGTCATCGCGCACGACAGTCAAAGCAGTGAGGACCTGGGCTGAGCAGCGATCTCAAACGACTGTTAAAGTTCATCACGTGGTCCCAAACACGTTTACAGCACCAACGTCGTGAGTCTGTTGAAGTTGCATGTGACATTGGTATGGAAAGCTCCAAGTGGCACAAAAGAGGCCGCTGGGCAGCCAGAAGGTGATGCCCAGCAGGAAAGAACCCTGCACCGTGATGGATTTGGACCGTTCATGCAGATGTTCTATGCTCTTTGGTTTGATTGGGCGTCTTCGCAGAGGTGAAATGTTGTCCCTTACTAAACTCTGGGTGAATATCACACTCATATCAAGCTTCCAAGGTCTCTGCGAAACTGTTGGTGCAACGAACCCCTGAACGAACCCCACATCTGTAATGAGCTCGAGGTTCTCCTGAAGCTTGTGAAAGGCAGCAGCAGGGTCAGGTCATGGGCCATGATACAACTCCTCAACTCCGTACCACTGCAAAGGAAGCAGAATGAAGCAGGCAGAAAGTATCTGTTGCTACCAACTATCAAGCAGCTGCAAACCCATCAAGAATCAGACCCCAAAATTCAATCGCCACCGTCTCTGAAAACGTTGTTCGCAGAACTCGCCTACATGCGGGTCCTGGCGTCCGAGCACACGCCTGAAGCTGGAGACGAGCGCTGGTCCAAGAGCCTGTAAAATCGTGTGATATGCTTGGGGCGCGGGTTGGGGGGGTGCTGCATCACTGAGCCAAACTTCTCAAGCTGAGCTTTGCGTGCCTTCCCCACGTCATCCGTGATGTTGAAGACCTCACGGGTGCCGAGAGCGATGCGCAGCTCACTGCCAGAAATGGCCTTGCATTGGAGGTTTTCCAGTGATGCCAGACATGATGCACTGTCTAGAAGCCGTCACCCGCGGCTTCAGGGGCTCAGCACTTTGCCTGGAGACAGGTTGCGAAGTGCTGATGTTGAATTTATAGTGATTGTAGTGGCGCTGGCGACTGCAAACCGCCAAAACGGCCAGGCAACAAAGTGAGACGGTCGAGGTAGTCTGACATATGCCTTGTGGTTCTGTTTCGTCTATTTGGAAGTTCTTGCATCCCTTCTGCTGACGGTGAGCCTTCAACCCAAGCGAGTGAAATTTCACCCCCATGCCTGCAAGCGGTCATTGCTACTTCAGCCCGAGCCGCTCCGAAGATAGTACCACGATATTTGGTATCCACAACGTTCAGAAGCATGGCCTTCGCGTTCCTGGACTTGCCAAGCGCGAACAGATCAAACAGTTGCAGCCACAAAGCGCTGCTTCGCACGGAGTAGGATGCAGAGATGCGTATGTAATGTCTAAGTAGATCGGTGATCGACAAACCTCTCTGTATGTATTGTTCAAGCAGGGGGTGGAGGTCCATCAAAGCTTCATTCATGATCCTGGCCCTCCTTCCCCCGACGTTCTATACATGAGTAGCACGTCATCGCAAAGCCCTCACCATCCCGTCCTGCAACCAAAATGCTGACCCTGCAGCCCCTATGATGGCCGTGGCTCGGATTTGTCATTGAAGCGAGAAAGCCACCAAAGAATGCAAGCAGGTGGAAAACCAAGCGGGGGATCTCGCTGCAAGCCTAGGGCAAGCATGCGTCTGGCAGTTTTCTGGAAGGGCCTCAGGAAGATAGTTTCTCGGAAGCTTCGGGAGACGGGATTGAGGGTATGAAGCCGTTTTGAAGAGACGGCGAAGCCAAAGTTGAGATCTGCGGACATCCAAAACTACTTATTCTCAGTAGTACAGTAAAACGCACAGGTCATCACACGTCTTTAGTTAGGAGCTGAATACTGCGATGTGCAGCTCTGCGATAGTGGCTCACAGTGCATGCAGACAAATGGAGCAACGGAGCTCGCCAAGGCACAAAGACGCAGAACATGAGCAGCATGCCTCCCCAAACTGTGACGCCCATAAGCCATCCCTGCAGGCGCTTGTCCTTCTCGTACAGGTACTGGCCCAGTTTGCCGCCGGTGATCGTGCCTAAAGTGCAGCCCACTCCGAAGCTGAAGACTACACTGGTGGCACCACGCACACCCATGTGGGCGTTGGTGGCCAAATAGTCTGGCATGAAAGCACCAATGACTGCCCAGGGTACGCAGCCCATGATGCCCTGCGTACAAAGGCATAACACTGTCCAGTTCAGAGTGTCAGTTCGGCAGTCTCGAGTGGTGCGGGAGACAGCGGCCTGGGAATGCTCGGCACCACACTCAGGGTTCAAAAGACTTGGCTGTGCACCAGGCTCCTCCCGATTGATGAATAGCAGCAGCGCAACGCCCCAGCCAAGGGCACCCAACACAGCGAATGGTGACCGCCACCCCATCTCGGATCCTAGATAACCAGCCAGTGCTTGACCCACGGAGGAGCCAAGGCTCACAGTGATGGCAACAATGCCTATAGCGTGAGGCCGAACCTCAGGTGAGTACATGTCCCCGATCACGGCAAAGATGCCTGGGATGAGTCCACCCATCGCAGCACCAACCACGCCTCGGCAACAGAGCAAAGCCCAGAAGCTGTGGACCTGTGAGTTAGCGAAGGTGGCCGAGGACCCCACCAGCATGCACCAGAAAACGATAGTCCGCCTGTTCATAATGTCTGCAAGGCAGCCAACCAGCAGGGAGAACAGAGAACCGAAGGTGAAAAATACCATGCTGACCACTCCTCCAAGCTTCTCATCCTTCTCTGCATCGTTGAAGCCAAACTCTTTTGCCACTGCAGTCATGTTGGCTGGCAGCAGCTTCTGGTCCACTACAAGCATCATCTGTGCCAGTGCCAGCGGCAGAAGCTGCCGGTGGATCCAAACCTCGTTGACAACCAGGCTGGACAACCACGCTGCTGTGCAAAGCATGCGCTTTGGCCAAGCACAAGGTCTGCATGTTTCCACATCCTGGCTGCCCGCCCTCTGACCAAAGCTCATTCGTCATGCAAAAGGGCCGAGCACCCACACAACAGACTTGAACCGCAAACGCTCTGCCCTGCCCTTGTAACTTGCTCCGCGGCTCTTGTTTTCTAGGCGTGCTGTCAAACGCTTAAATCCCTACGCAGCAAAGAAAGCCAGCAAACCCATCTGTCATTTCTCTAAGTATCCGCTCTGGAGTCCCTGGCTTCCCTTTGGAAACCTTGATGACCTTTCCGGCATTTTCCCCGGAAAGGTACGAACATGATTCCTCAGCTTAAGGCTCACATCCATCGAGAATTTTCTTGGCCTCCTGGGTCAGAGACGACAACAGCAAGCTATCTAGAACCACTTCAGCACCAAAGCATCCCACAAAAAGGTAGCATAGAACAAGCTCAGGATCGTATTGAAGAGAAGGATTGTTGGGATGTTTGTCCATCGACTTGAAGACGTCGTCGCGGGCACGAACAGCCATGAGTCTCTTCTGTTTGGGGTCTGTGATGTCTGAGTCATTCACCAAAGTGCGAACTGCGATGCAAGCCAAGCGTTGAACGTCTACGTCGGCGAGGTGCTTGCGCATGTTGATGAGAACCTACATGCTTCCAAGCCAGGCAAATCAGCTTCAGAATTTCAGGCTATAGAAAAAGCGATAGCCAAAGCAACCAACTGCAAACACTGTAAAGCTAAGGCGCTTGGGCTAGTGCTTCTTCCTGCCATCCCGTGCTTTTGGGCATCTTCGCACCGACGGCCGTGCAAACCAACGAAAATGCCACAAGCATGTGGTCCACATCATCACGATTTAATTTCAGGCTTGCGAGTACAAGCGCCGACATGCCATCAATATGAACCGTATGCTCTGACGCAAACTTCTGAAGTGCAGCATATGCCAGCTGCATACCTTGAACAGCTTCGACACCATCCTTCTGGGGACTCAACGATTTCAGAACCTTCACCAAGCAGACTGGAATCTCTTTGGCAGCCAATTCCTTCTGAAGCTGGGCATTGTCAGTCACCAAGTTGTTAATACCCATACATGCAGACCAAAGTATTGTAACAGTGTTGGTGCGCAAAGCACAGCACCCTGCCATCCCATCCATGACAACGAAAGACCTTTCCATGGCAGCCCTCAGCGCATCAACAGCACCCTCGTCCAGGAGTACCATCTTCATATGCTCGGCTGCAGCAAGTCTGCCGATCAGCTGGCACACACTGAGCTCGATGTTGATGTGCTGCCTCTGTTCCTGCACCCACTTGAAGAGCTGCCTACGGTTGATGAGATCGTCCTCCTGGCTCAGAGGTTTAGCCCACTCCCTCAAGCAGACTATATTTAGCGGCACATTTTTGTCAGCCCTGTCCAGTTTGCATGTCAGGACATCCTCGAGCTTTGGCCCACTGGACTGATGCTCTGTCTTAACATTGCAAGCACAAAATTTTCGAACAACCCAGAAGAGGACATACCTCGTCACAGTGCTCGCAATAAAGAGACAAAGCAGGCGAGCTCGATCTTCCCAAAGCAATTGAATGCGTTCCAGCCTGAGCGCCGATGACAAAATCGTTGCCACGACGAGCTCCAGAAAATGCGTCAGCACCTGTGCACATCATTCGAAGAGTCAGTTCCCCGGAGCCCGACGACGTGCTGTACCTACACTAGGAGCTGATGCTACCTGGCAAACCATGCAAACCCTCCCAATCAATCCAGAGACACATTGTGCATTGGCGGCATTGAAAGTAAAGCCGTTGAGAAAGCCCCAGCCAGTAAAAGGGGCTCAAAGGCACCAATGGTATTTGGAACAGACCACGCAAGCTTCTCCGGATTTCCCGTGGCCTGATATATGAAAAAACATTGGAGAAGACAGTCTAATGTCCAGAATAAGACGCCAGTGTATCGATAGCCGAAGATCTTGAAGTCATAGAAGATGAGCTGAAGCAACGGAAAGAAAACGATACGGCTGCCCACTTCGGCCAATCGGTACAACAGCACCAGAAAGTGTTGCACTGAAGCTTGATCTGCCAAGCCCGACAGAACTTCTTGGCCGTTGATCTCACGAGAGACAAATCCTTTCTTGTCTACACTTGCAAATGCCTTGGCAATTGCACAAATGCTAGTCATGACCGACACAGCCGCGAGTGTGTCCCAGGCGATGGACCCATGCACAAGCGCATAAGTTTGCACTGAAACGCTGAGAAGCGCCTCTGTGAACGCCTCTCCTTTGGTTGCACGCGCCAGATCCATGAAATAGCCCTCCCGACTCAACATTAGCTGGTATTGCCTGTGTTTCAAGTCAACCCCAGTACCATCTACCGAGGAGAAGAACAACCACACCGGTCGGAGCACGAGCGTCAAAGGTGTTATCTGAAGAAAGGTAAGCACGGCATACATGTCATTGCTAAACCGGTAAACAGGTTTTGCGCCTCCTGCATTGGATCCCGTTTGCCTGCTTCCGCAAGAAGTGCCGGTCACCACAGAGGAGACCGAACCCGCGAGAATTGCAAGGCAGTTTAGACAAACTAAGTCAATATGACCGCTTCTCCGAAACCTCAGTACCATGAAGATATCACTGATCAGGTCAGCATAGAAGAGCACGATCGGATTAAGAAAGAGGTATAGAGTCTCCGCCTTCAGAACGCTGTTCCACCAAGCGTCCTTCAACGATTGCTCACCAACGATCAAGGGGCTGGCCATTCCGCCTGCAAGGACAAGTGCCACGCAAAGAATCGAGTACAAGAAGACAGCTCGGCATTCGCGCACGATTCCCAACACATCAACAGCGAACAATAGGTCCATGCTCATAAGTACGACGCAAAATGCAGCGCTGAGGGCAAATGCCTGAAGATAGGTTGCCTGACTGAGGAATGCTTTCGGGAATCTCGTCTTTGTCGGAACTGTCGCCCGAAGGCAACTGCATGCATCTGGCTGTGTCTCTGAATCAATGGAACTGGCTTTGAGGTCGTCGGTATCCGACCCTGACTCGTCTTCTAACTGGCCATAGTCTAATCTGCTTACAGTCCTCTGGCTCATCTTTGGAGCCAAATTCCGCAAGGACTTGAGCCAAACGTATCTCGGAAACGACCTCAAAGAGAAGAGTCTTGAAGCCGGAACATCAGGATGAGACAGCCTCCCACGGACAGAATGTCAACACACTTTTGCAACAGACTCCGGATAAATTCCCGAGAAACAATGGGGCATTCATTGTCTTGCCGTGATGGCTTGCACAAATTTAGATGTGCAGTTTGGAAGTCTTCACTTCCATGGCACGTAGCTCTCTGTGGCGCCAAGGCCCAAGAAACTAGGAAGATGTGCCGGAAGCAGACGCTGAAAAGGCGTTGTGAATCAAGTCTAGGCGGTGCTTCTTACAAGCTGCTTCATCTGAACGTGGGCCAAAAGTGCAAACAACTCTGACCTCGCAGGAGCATCGCGGAATGTGGCCAGCATCCGACGGCTCGCGAAAGGATGAATGCACAACGCCGCTCTTCTCCACTTGATCTTCACGTGTATCGTACTGCCTGAAGATCAGCACCTCGTCGGCTGTCATCTTTGGAAAGTACAACCACTGATGTTGCTCGGAGTGCATGGGCCTCCAGACAATGTTGAGGTCAGCCTTTGCTTCCTCGCTGTGTCGGTCAGGCTCCAAATTTTGGTGAGCAGCAGCTGCACGATAGGTTGAGTACGGAATTCCATCCACGCATCTGGCATCTTGGCCGGATGACATTGAGCTCGAAGCCTCAACCACTTTCTTGTAAAGCTTCTCGCTGTACTGCTCGCAGTAGACCAGGTCATCTGGGCACAACGAGGCAGGGTGTAAGAATGCCAAGGCGAAGCCAGTCACTGGCGACTGCATGTCCGTCGACCTCCAAAGATTGTACACTGCAAAGTGCTTTCCAGCACATGCGGCCCTTACGCTTGCTGGCAGAAATTCCTCGCAATACTGGGAGTGGTCGATGTGGGCACTGGTGCAATACCCTATGGATGTGCTTGTTCCGTTGCGATGGAGAGGGCCGCCACCCAGCACGAACACTTCCTGAGCTCCGGTTTCTTGCTTGGCCAACTTGATGACTTCATCACACCAGAGCTCATCCGCTGCGGAATGTGACCAATCCTTGACTCCAGACTGAATCTTCACTAGCTGAAATCCATCCTTTGCCAATGAAGGCTGAGGCTGAAGACTGCGAGCGTTGCGAATGCAAACCTTCTGCCAATGGGTGTCAACTCCCGGCGGCAGAATGGGCTGCGGGCTACCATCCTTCCAAAAAAGCGCAAACATCGTCTTCTGCTGCTCAGGTGCACCTGCATGGAGTGCTTTCCCACACCCCGCTGGCAACATAGCAATGCTGGCTTCCACGTACTCCGCCTGAGAAGTGACTGTCTTGCTTCCTGCCATGGTGGGATCTTGAATTTGTTTCGGGGCCTCCGAACTGATAGTTCCGGGCAAGTTGTTCTCAAAGATCTCCGGGGGCGACATCGCTGGCCCAGGCCTAGTTGACAATTACCACCAATCACAGCCAAATGCTGCTGATCCAGTTATAGTCCCTAAAACCGGGACTGAATTGGTTGCTGCCAAGAGATGTGGTGTGGTGCCACAAGATGTGGAGCGAATCATCCCCAACACACCCACTAGCATCACTAGAACCAGCACCAGCACGAAGACCACCAAAACATCGCCACCACAGCCGTAATATTATCCTCGTCGGCGTTTTCGCCGTCGCCGCCATCATCATCATCATCATCATCATAGTCATCATCATCAGCACCATATCCACCATCACCAACCGAATCATCTTTCTCTCTCCCTACGAACTTTTCCACACTCCTGAGCAACAAAAAGCCTTCGGTCGTAACGGAGTTCACAAGTGCACAACTAAAGGAGCGAAAATAAATGCATGATAAAACACAGGAAAATCACACATGCGAATACCGGAAAATCGTTCGTACCCCGCCTCAGGTTGTTCCATTGGCAAGTGGGCAGACTGTTCGTGAACGATTCCGAAAGTATGAACCAACAGCATACATGATGTTAAACACGCTCTAATGCACTTGATGCCATGACTTTGTCATGAGCGACTAGCGTATTGGGCTTGGTTTAGCCGGGCCAAGGCTTTGTTCGGAGGTTTTGTACAACCTACAGTTTCAAAGCTCTCTTTACACTACGCAAACATGTGTCACAAAGCGTGGGCCGGCGAGGACACATGCAGGGCTTGACCGATGCAAGCGTACGCCACATCCAAGGTATCAAGAATGAAGCGGATTCATGATGGCACATGCGCGTGTTCGGTCAGCCTCTTGGATGGGTTACCATCCTACTTCCTATTGTACGCGGCTTTGAACGGCCTTCGCGATGCCAGCCAAGCGTGGTTACATCTGTTATCCGAATTGATAAAGCCGCTGGGATTGCTAAGCGACGATAGGGAACCGTGTCTATTTTCAGGATGCCTCGAACCAGACACAGACACAGAGTGCCCCGGAGGAAAAGCCACGGTTCGGGAAAGTGTTTCACCACGCAACAACAAAGGCTACGGGCTTCCAAGCCAAGCGAGTTGCCAGAAAGCAGACAGCAAAGCGGACAGAACAAAGTTCACTCGCTCAGTTTCTTTTTGTTTCGGCTTGCCGGAGAAACGACTGCAGCTTCAAAGTCGTAGGACCCGTTCGACCTTTGGCCAAAGCGGGTCCGTAAGCAGCTGCTGTGCAGTCGTTAGCAAAGCCCGTTTCGTAAAGCAGTACATTACGAACCAACAGCGTGCAAGAAGAAGTGTTTAGCGGGCAGCGTAGCACAGCTAAGACAGCTAAGAGCGGAAAATGCTTGTGCGGATTACGGTGAGGGCGGGTGGGAGTGCGAGAAGCGCCTAGGCATGTAGCTAGGAAAGCGGGCAAGCCCTTCCTCACCCCCCTACTGCAACCGCACCTATGCTGAAGCTTATACTAAGCTGCAGCATACTTGCAGCAAAAGTAGAGACAGCACAAAAGCCCAAGGTGAGGGCGGGTGGGTAGAAAAGAATTTCCAAGCAGCAAGCTAAGCTGTTGTTGCATGGTGTGTGCTTGAGCGAAAGCGGTGCGACGGGCAAGCACTTTCCAAAACAACCCTGTTTGGTCCGATGTCCGTGTGCGGAGTGCTCTCGAGCTTTCGAAATCAAATATACGTGAATAAAGAAGTATTGGCCAAAGTATGTGGCCAAACGGAACGTATTCAAACAGAATATAAAATATGGAAATATTCCAGCGAATCATATCCTGATGCAGGCAGCCAATGGACATGTTTTCCTACCGAATGGTGCACAAACGTGACCCCCCTCCGCAGAAGATACGAAGTCCGATATGATAGAAACGCTGATGCATCGAAACCGTGCAGACCTATTGGAATGCAATCGATGCCATCGAAAATCGAACAACGTAATGCATGGAGGGGAAGCAGAAAAGACCCGACAAGCACAGGTGGCCGAGTGAGGAGGTGGCGGTGAAAACTCAAAATGAAAGCCGAGAGCAACAACGGCTGCAGCGGTGGAATCCTGCAGCTCTGCACATACCGATGCGAATGCAAAACCACTCGAAGCAAAACGTGCACACGTAAAATACCGTGCAAGGCAATGCGAAGTGGAAATGCATGTAAAACTCGTGAAATGCATGTGCAAATTCAAGCACACCGGCCGGGCAAGGCCC